AAGACCAGAGGCACTTCTCGCCATGGCTAAACTGGGAAATGTATTTTTTTAAGAAAGTTTTTAATTATAACTGGCATCTTTAAGCTAAGTGCTGGAGGCTGCCATCTTGCTAAAAAGTTGTTGTTGTTTTTTTTTTTAATATTGGAAGCATGAAAACCCTCTGCAAGAGAGTGTTAACAACTTCCATACTTGGGTTAGTGCTAGATTCTGACACCCTCCCATTGCATAGTGCCTTACTCAGTGAGTAGTGCTACTGAAATTAAATGGAAGAAAATATTCAACCAGTGTAAGGGAATCAGAGGCAGCCCTTAATATACAGATATAGATGTGGATATAGCTTGCAATCTTAAAAAAAATAACAATAGTTCTATATAAATGTTTCATATTTAAATACTGAAGTATTCTTTTGACTGTTAAGCTGTTACTGGCCATTGTTGAAAACAGGATACTGGGCTAGACAGACCACTGGTCTGATTCAGTATGGCAATTCTTAGACTAGCATTAAAGCAGATGAGAAATAACTGTAATAATGCTTTGCGTTGTTACAGTAACGCCCCACTTAACGTCCTCTCACTTAATGTTGTTTCGATCTTACGTCCCTGCTCAATTACAGAACATGCTCCATTTAAGGTTGTGCAATGCTTCGCTATAACATTGTTTGGCTGACTACTTTGTCAACAGCTGGCAGCCCCCCATCAGCTCCCCTAGCCCCCCCACAGTGCCTCCCGCCCGCTGGCAGACCCCGCAGATCAACGCCTTCCCCATCCTCCCCCCGCCTCCTGCCCACGGCAATCAGCTGGCTTGCGACGTTCAGGAGGGATGGGGGAGGAGCGAGAACTCGGCGTGCAGGTTCCCCCTCCCAAATGCCGCAAGCCAGCAGATTGCCGTTGGCAGGAGGGAGGGGGGAGCCTGTGCTCTGAGTCCTAGCTCCTCCCCCCTCCCTCCTGCCCCCTGAAGGTGGCAAGCCAGCTGATTTCTGCAGGGAGGGGGGAGGAGCGAGGAAGCGGCGCACCTCCCCCCTCCCTTCCCTGCCTCCTGCCCATGGCAATCAGCTGGCTTGTGGTATTCAGGAGGCAGAGGAGGGAGGGGGGAGCCTGTGTGCCATGTCATCACTCCTCCCCCCCCCCCACTCCTGCCTCCTGAACACTGCAAGCCAGCTGATTGCCGCAGGCAGGAGGTAGAGGGGAGAGGGGGAGGAGCGAGGATGCAGCATGCAGGCTCCTCCTCCCTCTCCTGCCTCCTGAATACCACAAGCTTGGGGGAAGGGGTGGCATGGGCGGGCCAAGGGTTGAGTCCCCTGCCCCTGGTGCTTGCAGAGTAGGGGAAGCTGCTGCTGCTGCTGCTGTGCAATGTGCTTCTCCAAGCCTACAGCACCTTCAGCCTCCTTGCCTGCCTTATTGTCTGCAGTGCCAGTGGGCTGTGCCTGTATGGGGTAAGGTGAGGGCACCTCCCAACTATAGTACTGTATTGTATGGCAAAAAAAAAAAATTCCCTGGAACCTAACCCTCCCAATTTACATTCATTCCTATGGGGAAATTGGATTGGCTTAACATCATTTCACTTAAAGTCACATTTTTCAGGAACATAACTACAACGTTAAGTGAGGAGTTACTGTACCATCCCTTCCATCCTCGAATCCCAAAGCATTTTACAACATCAGTTCTTTGCAGTATGGGTGGTATTATTATCCCTAGTTTATAGCTGAGAAAATTGAAGCACAGATGTTAACATCCATATTTTCAAGAATGTCCATTTATTTGGCAGCATCAATTGTTCGGTGCCCAAACTGAGATAGCTAATGGATAAGGCCATGATTTAGTCACAGGTATTTTTAGTAAAAGGAGAGGTCACAGGCAATAAACAAAAATTCATGGCCGCGACCTATCCCATGACTTATACTATAAATACCCCTGACTAAATCGGGGGGGTTAGGGAGGGAGGGCACTGCTGCAGGGAGGCGCCTTGGGGGCCGCTGCTGCGGGGAGCAGTGGCTGCTCTGCCGTCCCAGGGACTGCTGCACGCTGTGGGGCCGCCAAAGAGACTGGCTGCAGAGCTGCTCCAGTAGCGGATGGTGTGGCAGGCCCCGTGGCCACCTGAGCAGCTGACCCCGGTGCCAGCTGCTTGGGCGGTCCTGGGGTCAGACACACTGGCCACTGCACAAGTCACAGAGGTCGCGGAAAGTCACAGATTCCATGACTTCCGCGACCTCCGTGATAGACACAGAGCCCTACTAATGGATTGATTATGTAACATGCTGAGCATGTGCTGATCTAAGTGGGATTTTAAGGACAGTCAGTTCCTCACACAGTGGTTAGCATGTTCTAGCCATCTTATCTTGTTACTTATATATCCCCAATCACTGTAGTATCTGAGAATACCTTAGAATTTTTAATATATAGGGCTGTAAATTAATCTTCTTTAATGCAAAACAAATTACCTAGACTTTAAAAAAATTGTCGCAATCTCAATTTTAATTGTACTGTTAAACAATAATAGAATACCAATTTAAATGTATTATACATTGTTTTGTTTTTTAGTGCGGTTATGTAAAACTATGTAAAACTTTATAGCCTACAAGACCACTCAGTCCTACTTCTTGTTCAGCCAATCGCTCAGACAAACAAGTTTGTTTATATTTATGGGAGATACTGCTGCTTGCTTCTTATTTACAATGTCACCTGAAAGTGAGAACAGGAGTTCCCATGACACTGTTGTAGCCAGCCTTGCAAGGTATTTACATGCCAGATATGCTAAATATTTGTATACACATTCATGCTTTCACTTGTAGGCTCTAAAGGTTTTACTAATAATAATTCTAAATTTGTAAGTTGCACTTTCACGATAAAGAGATTGCACCACAGTACTTGTATGAGGTGAAGTGAAAAATACTATTTCTTTTATCCTTTTTACAGTGCAACTATTTGTAATCAAACATACTAATATAAAGTGAGCACTGTACAATTTGTATTTTGTATTCTAATTGAAACCAATATATTTGAAAATGTAGAAAAACATCCAAAATATGGCTAATTTAAATTGGTATTTTATTCTTAACAGTGTAATTAAAACTGATTAATCACAATTTTTTTTTAATCATTTGGCAGCCCTATTAATATATTATCTTCACAACACAAGGTCACAGAGAAGTCTGTGGTAGACCCATGAATAAAACCCAACAACCCTGACTCCTAGGGACGTACTTTCAACAGAAGCCCATCATTCCTCTTCAACCTTATAGACACTCCACAGGGCTCCCACAAATGACATCATGTTTCAGGAAGATGGCTGCCTCCAGCACTAGCCGCCAAAATGCCAACTTAATTAAAGAGCTTTCTTGAAAAAATACATTTTCGCACTTTAATCATAAAAAGATGTGCTGTGGGTATTGTGTATTTGCAGGGTGTTCTGCTGAGCAAAATGGATGCAGTTTTCCATTAAAGAGAATGGTTTGATTCTTGCTATAAGAATTTCTGTCATAACTGTAGGTTTCTGTTTGTTCTGTGCGGTGCATAGCACTGCTTTTCTTAAAAATCCTGACATATTATTATAGCATCATCAAATAAAACACATAATGCTAGAGATCAAGGGCCAAACCTGGCAGTTTTTTGCACATGCTAATCTCCAAAAGGGGAGTTTCCCCTTTGGTAAGACTGTATTACGGTAATTATTGATTAGTAGTAGTATTACTGTAGCCGCCTATGAGCCCTAGTCATGGATCAGGACGGCATTGTGCTACGCACTGCACAAACAGTCCCTGCTCCAAGGAGCTTACAATATAAGTATAAGACAAGAGACAACAGATGGATACAGACAGGAGAGTACAAGTAAACAATGAGAGAATGGGACTGGGCCCTTCACAGCTAAGCACATACTTCACTGTGGATAAGGCATAGTTCCCAAAACAACAAGGCTAAACCTAAAAATCTCTCTCTGCAGATGCTACTCCACCTCATAAAATGAGATCAAAATATGGGAAAAGGCTTTTGGGTAAAATGACTATACAAAATGGTCCTGGGGTTCCAAGTTCATTAGTTCTCAATGATTCCATTACAAATCCATTTACTTCTCAAATCAATATAGGTTTCATTCTAATTCACCCTCAGAATCTGTGTTCTTTCCGGCTCCTACAAGAGTACCATTAACCATCACATAGTTGAGGTGTATTACAAGTGCAGTTAAGGTGAAAGTGACATTCAATAAACTTGATCTGGATTACTGACAATGATGTGAAGAAAGGGAAAAATCCAACTTAACTCTCCGATCCCAGGCTGATTTAGAAAAAAACAAAACTAAACTAAAAACATCTTTTTCACATGTATCCTGAGCACATTAGACAGGGAATCATGTGAGCAACAAACAAGACCCCCACAATATCTTTATTATAGAATAACTTTTCAATGTACGACTATAAATACTTATGAAACTGAGGTATAGCATAGTGCAATCTCCAAAACACAACTCTGCTATTAACATCTCAGTTCTCACCTGTAATACCTGTACCACTCTTACACCCATTCTTGTTACTCCATTTTACACCATTGCTGAATTAGACATTGGCTTTGTGCTGGAGTTATCCTCCTTTATCAATTAAGAAAAGCTCACCAAATTTACTTTCACTTGCGATTTTAACAGAATTTGAACCTGTATCTCCAGAGGGGAATGAAAGGTAAATGTGCTAATCTACTAGCCATATATTAGACAAGCAATTAGGATGATAAAGTTGTTACAAGTAAATTGGGATTGCATACGCCAGAATCAATATACTACCATTCTAGCCACAAAGGTGCTCTGATATCAAGGCATTAAGCATGGTATATGAACTTAGATAAATTACAGTACACAATCTATGTCTTCATACTGGCTATTATTGTGAAGTATTGTATCCAAAAACATGAAAACAGTTTGTGAGACACTATTAAAAACCTTGTGCAGCTTTAGGACCATGAACACCCTGATAACAGTAGTGGGCTGCTTATGTTGTCTTAGTCATTGGCACCTACCTGTTGATGCTTTCCCTGGAGAAGTAGACAGTGTATGCCAGGATATTCCCTTTAGTTTCTGCAGGTGGGCGCCAGCTGAGACGGACAAATCGACTGGAGACCAAAACAGGGACCACATCTCGGGGAGCAGAGGGGAGGACACTGGAACTTGGGATAGCTGAAGGGGAAGGAGAGGAATCAGTCAGAGAGGTTGGTGGAACAAGGGTTTCAGGACTGGTGGGAAGTACTGTAGTTGGCACAACTGATGTGTTAGAAAACAAAGGGCCAAGGTGAAATGGAAGTGTATGAATAAAATGAATGGGAGCGGGGGGGAAAAAAGAGAAAACTGACAGTAAAACCACACTTTAAAATACAACATTCTGCACAAGCAACAATCCACAAAGTTCAACAGCAACTAACGTACATTAGATGGGTTACTGTCCTGCTAATATTCAGAGCTTCTCTCTTACATGTATGATCACAAACTCTAAAAATTGCTTTGCTCACGCACAGATCTTTAGTTATCTGACAAACAAATAATTTTTAGCAACTCTTAAAAATCCATTTTCTACAAGAACCACCCTTATTGGACTGGGAAAGGCAGAAACTAAGAACTCTTCTACAAATTACTTGGTGGATGATTGCTCCCAAGTTCAATACAATAAAAAGCAGAATGGAATAATTTTAATATTGGTAAATCTGAAGATCTGGTTTTGAGTTAAAAAAAAAAAAAGTCAAACACACCAGGTATATAAACAATAAAACGAGTAAATGGCTAGCTTAAGGTTTCAGGTTGTGACATTTACAAAAGTATTTGTGTGTGTTGTCTTATAGGTTGCAGTTCCAGCTACATACTGTCTTAGCATGCGAACTCCATAACCAACATCCACAATCATCTTTCTTCCTTTGTGATCTAATGTGAAGTCCAATGCTTAATCTCACAGGCCCGTTGCTGTTACCACGGTCACAAATTCCTTGTCTGTCATGGAGAAGCACAGCCATTCATAGAATACCAGCATATTCTTATAACTTTTTGAATGGTCCACTTTTCTGGTCAAGTGCCCAAAAGGTGTGAGTGGGGCCCAAAGGGAGAGATTGTTTATGGAGGATGCAAGCTTATTGGGGAAGTCCCCCTGGTGAGAAATGCTAGCGGTGGAGTTTTCTTCTGGGTGTTTATTATTGGTTTTGGTTTTGTTGTGTTGTTATTTTAAATAATATCTAATGCCCACAGAGTATCAGATAGGCACCTTTGATATGTTTGATAAACTTCAATATGAAAAAAAAAATGGTTCACCATAGTGTTGTACAAAATAAGTAGACCAGGAGCCTGACATAAGCCACTTAAAAAATAAAATGCATCATTTAAAAACAGAAATTTGCCACTGATAGTGCACCTAAAGAAATAACTTTTTTCATAACTGTTCAGCTTTATCGGCCATGAAGCAATAATCCCTATGGCTGTCTGCAACCTCTTTACAGTTTTTGATGTGTGCTGTGAACAGTGTTATAAACATTAACTTACACTGTGCTCGTTAACAGTTCATGAACTGTGTTATCTAAATGGCATATAAAGGACGGCTTGATGTGTTCATAAAAATGCAAAAAAAAAAAAAAGGTAATTTGCATTGAATATTAGATCAACTAATGAACTTATTTTCATGTCCTCAAATTCTAGAACCCTTGCTGTTAACGAGATGTGCAAAATATGGCCACATCTTTTGACTATTTTCATGAGCAGAAATACTCCTTTTTATTAAATACAATACTCAGTATGGTGGCGTCCATTAAAAAGTAGTAATGCTTGAAGAATAATTGTCCTCAGTGGAAGAATTGTGAGACCCATGGAATTTCTCTATGATATTCCTCATGCACCTATCTAGTGGAAAAGAAAGGCCATAGTCTTGACAGCTCTTGACACCTGGGGCATATTTATGATCAACTATTATTATTTTATTTGTTTTGTGGTAGTTGTATTTCCTGGAAGTCCCAGTCCTGGACAGGGCTGATTTGTGCTAAGAGCTGTACAATGCAGAACAAAAAGTGAAATTCTCCACTCACTTCTTCCAGCGGTGGAACTCCATTTGTTGCAATGGAACAACAACTGATTTGCAATACTAATAGAGATTCTGACTTTTGGTCTAATTTGTATATCAACACCAATGCCACATGCCTTAATCAGGACTATTAATGAATGCTAGACTGCATAAGGGCATTATGGAAGCACCAAGAATCTTTGCTAAGTTTTTAGTTGAATGATAAGATAGAAATGTTATTAAGTTGACAGATTTTTGTAAGATCAACCCCAACTTTGTCCAGGGCAATGAAAGGGCTGAGGGTAAATGTATTGAGGTTGGGAGCTGGAGGGGTCTACTTACTCCTTATTGCTTTCGGTAAATACTGTAGTACTTGAAATATAGATTTTCTGCTAACTCCAGTAAAAACTCTTTCACTTTTATGGTTGTTAGCAGTGAATAGCAAATATGTATTTATGCTTACAATACAGAAATAACCTGTTACCTCGCCATTTATCTCAACAAGTAATATCTTAAAATCCTTGAAAGTTTCATATGAATATACTGGATCAATTCACTTGCGTCTGACCAGGGATGAATTTGTCCCATTTGTTCCCACTCTGTAAACACTGGATATTTCTGTGTCTTGGCACCTTGAATAATCATTTACTCCTATGTAAAGTGAGTGTAAAACTCTACAGTTCTGAGTCACTTTGCATAGGCATAAATGACTTCACAAGATTCACTGGAGATCATGGCAACAGATGCACATAGGGCAGGAGCGCCGCCAGCTTTTTTGCCGCCCTAGGCGGCGGAAGGTCCCGCCCCTGAAATGCCGCTCCCGACAGAGGCGGCGGAAGGTCCCACCCCCGAAATGCCGATGACGACCGGGGCGGCCGAAGATCCAGCCACCGTGGTCACCGCCCCCCAAATGTTAGTGCCCTAGGCAACCGCCTAGGTTGCGTAATGGGTTGCGCCGGCCCTGACATAGGGCCACGTTGTCAAGAGAGCTCAATTCCCATTTAGGCACCTAAATAAACAGGCCAGATTATTAATCTGGCTGAGCTTTTTTGAAATTCTGGCCTCAGTTGTGGGTACTGAGCTCCTCTGAAAATTCTGGCCATAGGAGCCATCCCTGCAGGACAAAAGTCCTATAGGAAATGGGAGGCGTGTCGGAGTTAGGTGCACAAGGCAGCTTTTACACAGGAAGTTCTTATGAATAGGGCTTAGGCAGCACCAGCTGTATGTCACCACACTATTTTATAGAAATGAAGGGCAACATTTTCTCTGATCTACCCTATGCATTTGACCGTGCCACACCTTTAAGCAGGGAAGATGTTGTCCGGCTGGCTGAGGGAAAGGGAACAGTCCTCTATGGGTGTGGAGGGGAATGGGTCAGCATGGCCACACTGACTCATCCCCTGGGCCTGGAAGGGTTGAAAGGGGGCAAGCCCAGACAGGAAAAGCAGGGACAGAGAGGTGTGGGGGGGATTCAAACACTATGAAGCGCAGATGGAGTGGGATTGTGGGGGTCAGTGGTGAGCCAGAGGTAGGATTCTCGCAAGAATGGCGGAGGCCTGGCCCCACAACGAGTGCTGGTGGAGCCCCGGGGTGGTGTGCTTGATTACCAAAGGCAGCCCCCTAGGCTGATGGCAGGTATGGGGGAACTCCAGGGAAAGCGAACACCCACACAGGTGAGCTGGCTACATTTGCTGATGGGACAGCCAGCAAGTGGTCAGGCTGTTGCCTTTGAGTTTATTTCTACAGCATTACAGTCTTCCAAAGTGTATGGGGTCACCCTGTTTTACTCAGCTGATTGCAGGAAATAAGGGCGGCACTGATGGCAGGAGTGGGTTGGATCAACAGCAGATGGAGGTTGCTGATTGCAGGGGTAATTTGGATCTGCATTGGGTGGAGGCTGAGGGGACATGTGGTACAGGTGGGCCCTTGCCACACAATGCGGCAATAAGTATCGATGGTGCGGCGCCTTGGTGAGATGCAGGGTCCGTCGCTATTTGTTCCTCTGAGGCTTTACATCTGGGAGATGGGGATGGACCTAGCAGGGTATTAAATGGGCCAGGGCAAGAATTGGGAGTCATAGGAGCCATATCAGACTTGTTTGGGGGGGCACACCCTTACAGGGAGGCTCATGGATTGCACAGCTGCTCCATGCTAGCTTGCAGTTGGTTGCAACAGCTTCCAGCATCCACAGGTGAGTGGTCTGGCCAGGATGGTAATGGATGCACAGAGAAGGCATGAGTTGCAGTGGTTTCTTAGTTTGAAGGTTTCTGGTGGGGTGGTTGCATACCAATGACCCCAGGGAGGATTCACATCATCCCATCACAGTTAACGGGCTCAGGGATCTTGTGCAGATCCTTGGCACCATGTATCGTAGTGGACCGGAGGCAGACTTGTTCAGGGCAGCATTCTTGATAGCATTTTTTTTTTTTTTTGGTGCTTTCAGGATCAGTGAGCTCGTACCTGGGTCCTGTAGGGACTCCATTGGAAGGGCATTGGAACTGCATGATGTACACTGGCAGCGGCAAGCAGTGCTACTAAACTTGTGAAAGTCAAAGATGGATCAAGGAGGCCAGGGTGAATCTGTTATCCTATGGGAAGGCGGTGATCCTGGGGTCTGCCCCATGGAGGCTTTGAGGGCCCACATGGCAATTCGACTGGGGAAGGGGATGGGCCCCTCTTTATGCATGGTGACAGGAGTCCCCTCACAAAATATCCATTTATTATAGTGTTGAGACAGGGACTGATGAGGTTGGGGCTGCCAGCCCAGGAATTTGGTTCCTGTTCATTCAGAATCATGGCAGCAACAGCAGCAGAACAACTGGGTATGAAGGCAGAGGCAATTCAGGTAATGGGGTGTTGGCATTCAGAAGCGTACAGAATGTATGCGAGACCCCTAGGTGGGAAATCAGCATTAATTTGTTGTAATCTCATTCCAGATGTTGGAAGACGGCCACGCAGATGGTGGTGTGGATCCGCAGGTATGGTCTTGTCTTTTTTGGGTGCATAGGCAGAGGTCCAAGTTGCCTGAGGGTTCGCAGCTGGGGTTCGGCAGGGAAACTTTCCTAATTTGGCATAGAAAGAGGGCCATGTTAGGGGACCAGCCAACACCACTGCTGAATACTATGGGGGCTAGTCAGGGGTTCCC